ATGATCAACTATGATCATCTAACTCTTCTCAGCAATATAATGATCCAAGACAATCCCAAAGAACTCATGATGGAAAATGCTATCCATATCCAGATAAAGAACTGATGGATGCTGAATGCAGATTGAAGCATACTATTTTCACTTTATTTATTTTATTTTATTTTTTGTTTTGGTCTGTTTCTTCTTTCATGACATGACTAATATGGAAATATGTTTTACATGATTGCACATATACAAAATGAGAGGGGAAGGGTGAAGGGAAAAATTTAAAATCAAAACTTTATAAAAATGAATGTTAAAAATTTCCTTTAAGTATAATTGGAAAAAATAAAGTACTATTAAAAGAAATATCTGAGGCCAGATTTGAACTCAGGTCTTCCTGACTCCAGGACTGGTGCTCTATCGACTGTGCCATCTAGCTTTTAACTAGTCCCTAAAAGACACTAAGAACTCCCCACAAAAATCTAGGGCTATTTAGTAGTGCACAGGGAAATCAATCAATTAAAACAGACATACCCCTCTCAGAATGGAAGCAATCAGTTATAGCATAGTGCCAAAAATGATATTTACAATGAAGACCTTGAGTCACTAAGAGTTCAATGTATGTGTTTAATTTTTTTTTCTATTCTGAACTTAATAAATACTAAATAAAATGGGCATTTCCATATAGATAGAAGAAAGTTGTATCTGAAACTGCAGATCTCAACTATGTTCGGCTTGCTTTTCTTTTTAAGTAGGTAAGTTCAAACTGTAGTGTTCAAAGCTATTTGGCTTGTCTGCACATTTTTCTGGAAAAAAAAGGGGGGGGCAGCTAGATGGTGCAGTGGATAGAACATTGGCCCTGGAGTCAGAAGGACCTGAGTTCAAATCTGGCCTCAGAAACAACACTTACTAGCTGTGTGACTCTGGGCAAGTCATTTAACCCCATTTCCTATCTAAAAAAAAAAAAAGCTTCAATGATTTTCTTTCTTTCTTCTTTGGTTGCCCTATCCCTGTTCCCTGAACACTCCTTCACCTCCCCAGTGGAAAAAGAAAAACCAAGCCCTTGTATAGTCAAACAAAACAATTGCCCAACACAACTGTGTTCAAAAATGTATTTTATGTCATACCTTGAGTTCATCACCTCTTTGTCAAGAAGTGGTTGCCATCCTTTGTTACCAGTTCCCTGGAAGTGTGGTCAGTCTTCGCATTCATTGATCAGAGTCCTTAATTCTTTCAAAGTTTGCTTTATAATGTCATTGTAAAAATTGTTCTTATTGTACCTACTTCACTTTGCATCAGTACATACAGGTTTATCCAGGTTTCTCTCAAGTTACTCATTTTATCATTTCTTACTGTGCAAGAATATTCCATTATGTTAACATATAATTTATATAGCCATTCTCCAATAGATGCACAACTCCTCCCATTTTCTGTGCTACTGAAAAAAAGCTGCTATAAATAATCTTATACATAGGTCTTTTTCTTTCTTGACTTCCCCGGCATAGAGGTCAAGGGGTATACACAAAATAGCAACTTTAGGGGCATAGTTCCAAATTACTTTCCAGAATGGGTGGACCAATTTATAGCTCCACCACCATTTGTGTGCCTTTTTTCTTGTATCCCTTCCAACTTTTGGGACTAAATAACATTCAATTATACTCTTAAGAAGCTGAGAAATGTGCAATGAAGTTTTTAAGAGATTTACTTCAAACTGATTTAAAATACACTATTTTGTCTCCTAGAAAGGGGTTTTAATTATCTGGGAAGTTCTTTTCGTGTTAATGCACTGATATAATAGACGGTATAAAAAAATTTGAAAAGATTCACTTAAAAATAAGCTATTTTTTCTTTTAGAAAGAGGTTTTAGTTATCAGGAGTTATCTGGAAAGTTCTATGCATTTTAATGCACTGGTATGGTATATGGTATTTGGGGCAAAGATGTCACAACATGTCAGTTGAAAGCATTGTCAATGTGACTACATGAATGCAGCAACATAATAGTAGCTTCACCTTCATGATATCTCCTCTCTGCCTTTTTAACTAAAAGCATTTCCTTATTTGTATAGTGATTTCATTTATTTGATGAGAGATTCCAGTCTCTCCTAGCCAAGACCAACAGGTTTCCCCAGCTTTGTCCCCTATACAAAGCCGGGATTTTGGCTCTGTAGAATCATGGAACAATGACCTTCCAAAGACAGGAGCTAAACAGTAACCTAACTGCAACTTCAGCAGAGAAAGCCTAGTTCACACTTGTCTTCAGGGCACCACCTCTCTATCTGGCACTTACAACTCAAACATAGTCTTTTAAAATGTCACAGAGCAATGAAAAACACGAGAAAAGGACAATGTCATAGTCTTTTTATTCAAAGTTTTCATGACAATACATAGAAATATAATTATCCAAAAGAACAATGTAAAAACTAGCTATCCCCTCAGGAACAAAGAAAGATTACTCCAGTGTGATGACCCTAAATACAGGCTGAATGTAAAGCATCCAAACTTTTACAATTTTAATATTTCGCCCTTTTAAGTGTCAAGTTCTACTTAAGCCACCTTCCATTTTTTTCCCATTTCCTTACATCTCGAATTTCCCACACAATTTGCTCTGGTTCCAGTTTTGGTAAAATGCCACTAAATACACTAATGTTTCATTGGGGCATGGAAGTGTCCTTGTATTCTCAAAGGCTATACCAACAGAATTCAAATACTGGCCAGATTCATTCTAAGCTAGAGAGGCTCAAGACATTGAATCAGACTAAATCTCATCTGAGGTTCAGCCTAGGTAAGTCTGGTAAAGGTGCCAGGGGATGAATATTTTTGAACACAGCAACTCACTAGACTTGTCTGCTAAAGACAGGAGGAATTATGGTCTATGCCAGTGAACTTGAGTGCTCACACAAATTAGAGATATTAGGTCAAATGTCACCGGTAAAGCTACAAATGAAAGTAAAAAATGTATACTACCACAGCAGGAAAAGCACTGCATTAGAAGTCAAGAAGAACTGGGTTTGAATCTTGGCTCTGTTACTAGTTGTGTGATCTTGGGCAAATCACACATTGGGGCCTCTGTTTTCTCATCTGTAAACATGAGGAAGTTGGATTAGAAAATGTCCTTCTAGTCCTAAAGTTCTATGATATGTGCTACTTTAAAAAAAAAACAATAGGAAGGAATTTTGTCATATGATAGATTTTTTGTCATTTATAGGGGAAATTTTAATTCTCTAGATTTGGGATTTCTCTTTGCCTTAGTTATGATGGGCAAATCATTCATACCCATTTTCCTGTACAGGGGTGGGATGGTAAATCAAGCTAACATAAATCAACTTTTATCTGGCTAATAGGAGTGAGAAGAGTGTCTAACATCTATTGAATTCGCTAGATGACAGGTATGAGGAAAATCACTTATGTTAAATGAATAATACAAGTAACTACTATTAATTAAGAATCTAAAAAGTTATTTTCCCAGAAAAATATCTACAAAGTCCTGAAACCACAAATTCTTCAATATTCTAAGTTACCAAAATATTTTTCTGTGTAAGAAATATTTACATGTATGCATATCTATGTGTTCTGAAACATATACATTATCAACACAGTGTTGACCTTAAGTATACACAGGAGGCACTTGATAAATTTAACTGGAATTGAATCAAGTCTTAACTAAATTTTCTTTGGCAAAAAAGTCTTCAAAAATTAAGAAAGAACAAATTGAATTTTATCATCAGGCAAAGTAAAAAGTATGACCTAATTAAGATAAATATTTTTGAAAGGGAAAAGTACAAATGTGTAACTCATTCTTAAGTTCCTAGCATGTAGGAAGTAAGTCTGATTCCTTCAAAGACCCCTCAAATTCCACGGGAATTTGCCATTGGTTCTGGGGGGGTAAATTCCATGTATCACTGGCAGATTTTGGAGAATTTGGATCAGTGGAAGGGTTGTTTGTAGGAAAATAACTGTAATATAGGTCTAATGACAGCTATAATGGGTCTTAGTTGCCTAGTTTAAAAAGAACTATCCTATATACTTGCGTTCATGCTACATGAAAAGTAATCCAAATTAACCTAGAGAAAGAGTGGCTAGGATTAAGCACTTGAGTTTTATGTATGTATTTTTAATGATTGCCTGGGAAGAAAAGGAAATGTGTGGTGCTTTCTGTGAAGCCCAAATCTGATAAAATATAACTCAGTGTGCTCAGATAAAGTCCTCAAAATCAGTTCATCTCACAGATGGATCAGAATCTTTGGATAACTATCATGGCAGACTTTGGGGAACAACACAAGACTGGATAAGGAACCTCGGGGGAAATGGGTTGTTGTAGATAATCTGGCATAAGTAAGATATGAGGCCTCCAAAGAGCTTTATGAGGATGAGAAAAGGGGAAAAAGGCAATAGAAACTCATCCAATTTAGGAAAACTTTGTAACTCTACTTTTCAACAATGTTCTTCAGTAGGCATTTTCCTTCTCATTGGACCATAAGCTCCCTGAAGATGGGGTCCATATTTTATTTCACCTTTGTATCCCCAGGGTCTCTGGTGCCTTGAGCACTTAGTGAAAAAGTGACTAATTCTTGGGTTCAAATCCCCTTTCTGTTGATTGCCATTTGTGTGACTCATGACAAGTCACTTAGCTTCCCTGGGTCAATTTCCTGATCTGTAGAATGGGTGTTTGGCTAAATGGCTTCCGAGTTCCCTTGTTTCTCTGGATTGATGTTAGGTACTTCTTGTTTACTTAACTGAAGATGGATTGTATCTATGTAATTAGCTTCATATTTTGCAGCTAACCAGTCTCCTTCCTCCAGTTATTTTGTTTGTTGGCAGCTAAGTTGCACAGAGAAAGCCAGGCCTGGAATCAAGAAAACCTGAGTTCAAATCCAGCTTCAGACACTTATTAGCTGTGTGACCCTGGGCAAGTTACTTAACCTCTGTTTGTCTCAGTGTCCTTATCTGTAAAATGGGGATGATAATAGTAGCATCTACCTCCTAGGGTTGTTGTGAGGATCAAATGAGATAGTAATTGCTGAGCACTTAGCACAGTGCCTGGTGCATAGTAAGCACTATATAAATGTTAGTTAGAATAATAATTATTACTAATACCCTCAGTAGAACACTGAAGATCCTTGAGAACTGGGATGGTTTTTTCCCCTATCTTTGTATCCTCAGTACATAGCACAATGCCTTGTACAGAGAAGACACTTAAAACATGTTTGTTGAATTGAACTGAAAAGAATTATCAGGTCACTTATTTGACGCGATCATTTTCATAACCCTAGTAGGTCAAGAGGCATTTCTGTTACACAGGCCTAGAAGCAAACAAAGGACTCTGCCATCCAGGCCTCTGCTCACTAACTCAATCTAGCTGTTTTCCAGTTATGAGTGACTGAACACCTGTGTCAGTTCTGTGAGCAGGACTCACCCAGGGGCTGGGCACTTTGAAAATATAAAATGGCTAGCTGCAAGTGGAGGGGCTGATTATTATTTTATGAATAAGAATGCTGGACAGTGCTATGCTTGGTGACTCTGGTAGAAGACATGGTCACAGCAGAATTGGATGGAACGGATTCCTGTAAATCTAAATTTTGCAAGGGGCTTAGCGTCCCGGCTCCAGAAACTACAGTCTTTGAGGCTTGCAGATTCGAGGCAGGTGTGAGCACTCTTTCTGTTACTGTCATATTCTGTCCTACTGCTAAACTGGGGACATTCTGAATGGGCTGCAGGCTTGAGCTCGGGGCCAGTAACCTCTCTCTCTCCCTCACGACAACATAGTGTGAATCGGGCAGATCCTGAATGCCTCCTAGACCACTGGCTATGCCACCACTAGGCTGGATCGTGTGTTCGGTGACCACTACATTGCTTTTATTAGTGTGCTGCTGGACAAACTGCTGGTCTACCAAACTAGAGGCAGGAGCATACACCCTCTCTGTGACCATGAGGTTCTGCGGTTGATTGGCATTGAGGATCAGAGTACTTGGTGGTAATGTGGAGCCAGTGGAATAGGAGGTTTCTGTTACGACGATATTACTGGTAGGCAATGGATTGGGGAGGGGTCTTACCACCTTCAGCTCTTGCCTGTTTGATAAAGATCTTTCAGAGACTAATTCCTGAGTCAAGGTCTCTGAAGTTGGCTTGCTCACTGGCTTTGAAGCCTGGGAGCTGGTGCCAGAGAAGGAGGAGTGGGACTTTTCTGCCTGAAGAGTATTCTGCTCATAAACTGACTGTGAAACTGTATTCACACTAGCTGGGGTGGTAAGTTTGTGCCTGAGGCCAGTTTCACTATCTGTCTCTATTTTTTGGCCTATACATATTTCTGCTAGCGTCTTGAACTTGATTCCCAAATCATCCAGGTAACGGTCATCCCAGTCTGCCTCGATGAAGCTGCAACAGCCAATAGAACCATGAAGAGATTGTGTTTCTTCCTGAGAATAAACTAGGAGACAGTCTTTCCCTGTTTGAATTTCATCACTGTCAGCATAGGAAGCAGCTTTCTAAAAAGGAAATGAGAATCAAAACATACATAGCTGAATAATAATGTCACTTTCAAATAACTATATGTATCAGAATTTAGAATAAAGAAAAAAAACTTTTAAGTGAGATCCCAAAATCTTGGGTAGTTTAGAAAAACAAATTCTTTTTTCCTATTTCCTCTATTTTCTTAATTTTATCAAACAAGATAATATATGTAAAGTGCTTAGCACACACACTGCCTGGCACATAGTAGGCTTATTTCCTTCCCTCTCCCTTTCCAACTGTGAACACACCCTTACCAATCTAATACTCTTTAAGTAACGAGAAGGGGGAAACATTGAAAAGAAAAGTGAGGTAGGAACAGGAGAACTGGCATAATTTATAACCATTTAGCCACGGGAGAGCAGAATTAAATTTGTAGAAGGAACTAGAAAAGCATCTTTTGATCTTCCTGCTCCTTCCCCAAACCTATAAATTCAACCAAAGCACTATGGACAGTCAGACACTGTTCTCAAGAACCCCAAACTCTTGAAAGGAACCTGTCCTCATCTCTGCCTCTTACTCCCAACTACCAAGAAAAAAAAAACCCACAAACTACCTCCTTATGGCATTAGAACATAATTTTTCATTAATTAAAAAGAAAAAAAATGTAATAATAATTAGCCTCCTTTTAATTTCCTTTAAATTTCTCATGAATAATTTTAATTATTTGATATATACTATTATATTAATCATAAAATCAAATGTTTCAGTTTGGAACAATGCAACATGTAAAGGGTAGAGACCTATTTTTGCTCATTATTTCTAAACCCGCTGTAAAAAAAAACTGAATTAACAACTGTCTATTTGCTTTTAAGTTGTGACTATTCTTCATTCATGTACACATGATCCCCAAACAGATCCTTACCTCACTGAAGTAGCTTCTCAGAAATTCTTCATTCAGCGCAACAGTGGTTGCCCTGGATCCGTCAGTCCCCATGACTCCAGCTGCCCCCATCGTTGCCGCACCACTCACAGCTCCAACTGCTCCCACAGTTCTTTTAATTCTACTGTTCAGAAGGCTTCTGTGCTCTTCCCATACTCCATCTACCACAGTCACAGTACGATGGCCAGAGCTACTTTCCCTCCTAGTTGTTTCACTGCCTGTCATGACTCCTGTTCTATTTCCTCCTCCGGCAGGTACTCCAAAATTTCCCCCACGATCTGTTGTCACGAGAGATGTCACGACCTATAAAAGCAAAAAGTTACATTGGAGATTTAGGAGGGGTGGAAGATCAGTATGTGGTTTTTAGACCCTGGGACGCACAAGAATATGGGCAGAATGAGTAGGTTACAGTGTTTGAAAGGAACAGGACACTTCCTTGCTGAGAAGGGTGGGGTTTCATTTGGACGGATTCTCTTTCTCTTCATTATGTTCATGGGAGAGCCTCCTGGAGCCTTTGAGGACCAACCCAATGCAAGAGTTATCTAAGTCTGGAATGTTAGGCTAATGCTCTACAATATAACTGAAATTCAAAAAGAAAATAATTTTATAGCATCTACTAGACATGCCTTGTCTTCAGGCGGCGCCCCTTCATTGTTCCATGGATGCAGCATCTCTACAGTATCAGGTATGGCTGTGAAGCCTTTGGCTCCTCCTCCTGCTCCTCCACAGTGACACAGAAGCAGTAAGAGGGGTACAACTGGAAAGGAGAAAAAAATAAGTAGAGGATAAATTAGTTTCCATATGCTAATAATATTGGGCATTCAATTCAGTCTGAGAAATATGTTTGGCATTTACTCCTCACTTTGCCCTGTAACTAGATCATAGCTTGAGAGCTGGAAGGGAGGATATCTAGTCCAATCCCTTCATTTTACAGATGAGGAAACTGAGGCCCAGACATGAAATAACTTCCTTAAGGTTACATATGTGGTAAGTGGTGCACCCTATATTTGAACCTATCTCCCTAATTCCAAATCCAATAGTCTTTCAACTGACCCACACTACCCCTATTTCTGATGCCCTGTACCTCATGCCTAAGTTTTCCCTCTTCATCTTGTCCCTCCTTACACTAAGTTTGTTTTGTTGGGAGCTCAAGCAAAGATGAGGGACTCTTGGCCAGAGGTGTCAAATAAGCTGCCGGCTGGCTGCACTGCAGCCTACAACACTCCTGAGTGCTGTCCAGATCAGATCAAACAGTACTTGAGAAATAAATTTAACAAAATAAATAAAAATCCAAAGAACATGGATAGTGTTAACGTGTGGTTTTCTAAGTCAATGAGGCTCGCAGAGATCTTTATGTATGGTTTAGTGGCTTCCATTTCTATTCGAGTTTGACACCACCACTCTTGGATGCATAATAAGAGTGTCTCAAAGAGTAAAAATAGACAGTTTCAGTTCTATGGAGATTGTCTAAGGTGGCTGCATGTTTTAAAGAAGTGCAGTGACATTTATTCTAGAGCCATCATAGAATATTTCTGTCTCTTCACTATTTTCAAGCCGGTATTCATCAACATGGGCAGCTGGGTGGCACAGTGCATAGAGCATGGGGCCTGGAGTCAGGAAGATTCTTCTCCCTGAGTTCAAATCTGGCCTTAGATACTTCCAAGTTGTATGAGCCTGGGCAAGCCATTTAACTCTGTTTGCCTCAGTTTCCTCATTTGTAAAATGAACTGGGTAAGGAAATGGCAAATCATTCCAGTATATCTGCCAGGAAAATCTCAAATGATGTCGTGAAGAGTTGGGCATGACTGAAAAACAACTGAACAACAAATTCGTTAACAAGGCACTCCTATTTTCAGGCCCTAGTTCAGGGTTTCTTAACCTTTTTAGTGTCTAAGGCCCTCCGCTTTTAGAAGTCTAGTCAAACCTATGGACCTTTTCCCAAAATAATTTTTAATGCGTAAAATAAAGTACATAGAGTACAAATGAAATCAATTACATTGAAATACTTTATCAAAATAGATTAAAAAACCAAATTCATGGACCCCAAGTTAAGAACTCCTGCTCTAGCATAAAACATTTGAATACTATCAATGTACTATTAGCTAAATAATCACAATCAATTTCAAGGTTCATTGCTAAGTCTTAGAGCTTGACAGGTAGATCTCTAATATGGGCAAACTTCTCTAAAAAAAGAATACTCTGAGTCTAAAAAAACAAACAAAAACAACAAATCAAACTACATTTGAATCTTGCTGTGATGTTTCATTAGAGAGCAAAATTTGGTGTAAGATAGGTCTTGTCTTAGATTCCTTACAAATTCAGAAGCACCAAAAGAATCTCACTATAAGGCATTTTTGTATCTTAGGTGGTTTCAGGTCATAGGTTTCCATCTTGTTTGGGTTCTCAATGAAGAAAGAAAGATGACCTCTTTCTATTTTACAGAGGCGGAAATCAATGTCATGAGAATTACTGACTTGATAAGATTCAAACAAGCCTGAAGTTGTGACAAAAACAGAGATGGGTATTTCTGAATCCCTTAGTCTAAGATGGCTGCCTCGGCTTTGGCTCATTCATCATGCCTTTCTTTTTTCAAAAGGTAGAAACATTTATTCTAATAATGGCAGGCAGCCAATTCTGCATTAATCTATTTTGCTGACTTTATGTGAATTTACCATCTTTCAAAATTCCTTTTTAATGTAGAAATGCTGGCAAAAACAATGAGTGTGTGTGTGTGTGTGTGTGTGTGTGTGTGTGTGTGTGGACACACACACATATCTGTAAGGCCACTATAAGCAGTGAAAAGACTGGGATCAAAATATGGTAATGTCTTGGTATAACAGAAGGCAGGCACCCAGGATGTTGTCTGCTGACCCAGTGTTCAAACTATGAGTTACCTGTCAAGGTTCTTAAGATACCAAGAAGTCAATAACGAGAGGTTGTTTTAATACTTACGTAGCAACAGAAGAAGTGCGAAAATCATGAGCCAAATTGCTCCAGCCCCCAGCCCCACATAGGGGTCGGCCAGTGGTTGAACACAGCCACTACCACTCACACAGCTGCAAACTGTCAATGCAAGGATCTGCTTTTCAGGACAGTTTAATCCTTGATTATCACTCACTGACAAGTGGATTTCACTTCTGCCCACTTTCAATTTTCTTGGTATCAACCATGCGCTTGTATCTGGGGTGTACAAAGGAGAGAAAGAGGAAAAAGAAAGATAATGTTTAATAATGGGCATTTTTTCCAGTCACTAAAACACATTCTGCTCCATTCATACATTTAATTTTTATCTCTGCCTTTACTTAATGAGTTTCTACATATAAATCATACAGTTTAGTAGAGAAGGATCAAAACTACATTAGAGCCAAAAATGACTTATTTGGGTGAAATGACATTTCCATTATTTTTTTCTGCTTTTTACAACCCTGGGACGTCACAAGTCTGATGTTTCTTTCCCTACTATGTCACCATACCTCTCATGATGCTGCCTCCTCTATCATGCTTTCCCTGATTACACAACTAGAAATTACCACTCCCTCTTCTGAATGCCTTAAGCATTCTATTTCTTTCATGCTTAAAGCATTTATCTTTAACTGCTTTCAAGTACACTTGGTACTGCTTGACATCAGGAGAGATTTAAATTGCACCTTTCACACTTATGAGCCATGTATTTTGGGCAGTCATTTATCCTTTCTGAGTTTCCAATTCTTAATCTGTAAAATGAGAAAAATAATACTTGTAGCACCTGCCTCTCACAGGTTTGTTTTTTTTTGGTGAAGATCAAATGACATAATCCACAAAAGATCTTTGTAAACTTAAATGTTAGCCATTATCATTGTGTACATACTTTATCTCTATTAGATTTTTAAGTTCCATAATAATTTATACATTCTCTATGGCACCTATAGCATCTTCCACATTGTAGATAGTATCCGAGTATTTTACTATAATATAAATGTTATTATTCTTTGACCACAAAATTATGAGATTTTGCCATACTGACATTAGACCTTTACTTCACATTATTACCATATGCTTGAGATGGGTTTCAACACAGGAATTAGGGCAAACTGAGTTCCTCACCTGACCACTGATTATATTTAAGAAAAAGTGAACCTTCCCTCCTACCTCCCTAAAGCCTTTTCAAAGATAATCACAACAGTTTTTTGGCCTCTAGAATGGGTGGTTTCTGAGTTTTGGTACCTATTACAAGTCTCAACTGAGTCACTGGTAACTCAATAGGGACCTTAAGAAGATTGCAATCATCAGGATGTGAGGGCCCCCTACCCTTCCCACTACTACTAACCACAGCTAGCATTTAACAGATTAGGACTTTAAGGTTTGCAAAGTGTTTTACAAATATTTTCTCATTTTAACCTCAAAACAACCCTGGGATGTATTACTTTCTGTAGCTGCCCTTCCCACTACTAATTATGGCTAGCATTACAGATGTGCTTTAAGGTTTGCAAAGCAATTTACAACAATTATCTCACTTTATTCTCATAACAGCCCTGGGACATAGGAAACTACTCTCTGTAGCTACAAAAGAGAAATTATTCCTTTGTCTGAAAGGCTAGATCCAAAAACATTTTTGGAGCTACAGCGTTTCATTTCAGTGTGCAGATGTCTAATATCTAGGTAAACATGAAAAAGATGAGTCTACTTTTCAGATGAAAAAGGAAGCTGTAATTATCAAAATGAAATGGGGCTTCCGGATTACGTTTACCTTCTTGGTGTCCAAAGTACCAATTCTCTGCCATTCCAGGCGGTTCATCAATGACAGTAAATCTGAAAGGTGAACTATTTGGATAACCATCTAAGTCCTTAGCAGTAACATTCACATACTCTGAATCATCACAGATAGTCTGTACTGGATTTATGAGTTCTGGACAGTTATCATTAAAATCTTTTACCACGATTTCAATGGTGCCAGTGACTGTCTTTCTAGGAACATCTGAAAAAAAAGAAGCATGCAATGGTTAAAATCTTGAAAGAAGTCTGCATTATGTTTTCTTCACAATCAGGTATGAGGAAAAGAATCTCATAATCACATCTTTTTTCACATATTACACACACACACACACACACACACACACACACAAAACTCATATTCAGATGACATAAGATTTTTATCAGGCTCTAAGTCAGAGATGGAGAACTTGTGGCTGAGACCACATGTGGCCTTCTAGGTACTTGGGTGCAGCCTTTTGACTGAGTCCAAGTTTTACAGAACAAATCCTTTTAAGGGAATTTGTTCTGTGAAGTTTGGATTCAGTCAAAGGGCTGCACTTGAGGACCTGTGGCCTTGAAGCCACAGGTTGCCCACTCCTGCTCTAAGTGAATAGAAATGCCAATATACCCTTGGAAGATTATCTGACCTCCTACACAAAATCAGAAAGCAGGTCTGAGTATTAGGGGAAAAAAAAAACATAATGGCATAACTATTTAAAACCCTACCTTTAGTTATAGCCAAGATCTTTGCAAAGTAAGTGCCATTAATGACATATTTAGATTCATAATCAGGAATTTTAGCAAGTTTGATTTCAGATGTGATTGAATCCACTGTGATCCAATTGTCGACATCTTCTCCTTTAACATACCTGTTCAGAGATCACAAATAAAAATGTTTAGGTTGTGAACAAATTAACCATTCTCTTTTCATAGAAAATATGGAAGAGCCAAATTTAAACTTGATGTCAAGAAAAATTTCCTAATGATTACAGACAGGCATCCGTAAACAGAATGGACTGTCTTTCTTTAAATCCCAGCTTCTCATCTTTACAGGAGATTTTTCCCAAGCCGTCTCAGCACAGAGCCTGGAACATAGTAGGGCACTTAATAAATATTTATTGATTGTTTGAATGAAGAAGGGATAGGCTTCCCTTCCATCTTCAAAAACAAACTGTATGGCCACTTGTCAGTTATGTGTCTATTTCTTCTAGGTATGGATTGAACTACATGGCTGCTGGGGTCCCTTCTAACTCTCAAATGCTGAGATTCTTTCACTTCCAATTCTAGGTTTCCAATATCTGTTTCTTTTGCAATGTGCATACACACACACACACACAAACACACACATCTTGCCAAGGGAAACAGTAACTGATTACAATTTCTTTTGGAATGAAGGAGACATGGTGCCCAGACCTAGCAAGGAAACAATCCCATGATACCATAACTTGGTATGAACACATCCAGAGTACTGTGTTCAGCTCTGGGCACCCCATTTTAGGAAGGTCACTGACAAACTGGAACACATCCTGAGCAAAACAGCTGGTACAAGGAGAAGCCTGGAGACCATGTTATAAAGGGTAGATGGAAGGTACTCAGGACCACCTAAGCAGCTATGTTCTGCTTGGCACCAGAGGGCAGAGCTGAGTGAAATGAGTAGAAGCTGCAGAGGGTCAGATTTATGCTCAATATTGAGAGAAACAGGCTAACAATTAGCACTGTTTGAGGTTAGAGCTTAGCACAGTACCTGACACATAATGGGCACTTAACGAATATTTATTGATTAATTGAAGGTGAAATGGACTGCCTCGGGAGGCAGTGGCATGTTTTTCCCATCCTTAGAGGTGTCTAAACCAGGGTAAGTTGGGCTACTTTTCAGGAATGTGAGAGAAAGCATTCTTATATGAGTATGAGTTGGAATCAGTCCTTTCTGAAGCCTATTCAAACTCAGGGATTCCATGAAACTTTTGGAAAGAGGTGGTGCCTTCTCTGAGAAATACAAAGAGTGGGGCCCAGAGACTGATGGAGTCTCTGAATTCCACCATAATTTTAATGAAAGTTAGAAAAACTTATAAAGAGAAAAAACTTAACAAATATCTTACGTTACTTGGGCTACTTGTCCAGTGTCCTCATCGTAGGCTTGAAATCTTCCAATAGTTTTGCCTATTTCTGACCTCTCCATATGTTCACTGATTTGGATCATGATTTTTTTGCTTTTAAAATAAATACCCTCCACAACATTTGTCACTTTGACCTTGATAGGAATGGGTTTTGCTACAAACTTATTTCTAATTGATTTGTGAAATGGTGCTTTGTTGGTGACAATCATCTTCAAGTCAAGAGTCTTCATTACTTCATAATCCACTTCCTAGAAAAGAAAAAAAAATGAATGCCCTTCTGCTTTTATCAAAATCTTCAAGACCTGAACCTAATAGGAAAAGCCATTATTTTCAACTTAAATTTGCAATCAACATTTTCCAACCTTTGAAAACTCGTAATACCTACCTTAATAAGAGTCACAATTCCTTCATTTGTTTGAGTATCTGTTTCTACACGAAAATAACCCCCTTCATTTCCTGAAACGAATGTAAAATTTGCCAGCCAATTATCCGAGCCTACTTCATCCAAGTCAGTTACTTTTATACGCATGACTTGCACGTTTGCTTGATTTTCTTTAATCGTTACCGCATACTACAACAGATGGACACATTGCTTTGCATTAATTATTCTTCATTCAGTCCAACAACATAAGCTGAAATTATGGCATTGGTACACAAACACATATACAATGCCTAGCATAAATACTCACTGTCTCAGATTCAGTCACAGGTATATTGTCATTGACATCTAAAATTTTAATTTGTACTGTGGCTTGATTCACTGGCTTGTCTGTTTTTTGTCCATTTCCATCAGTTGCTGCGACAATCAGACTGTAGTGGCTTTGTTTCTGTTTTTAGGAGTGAAAAATAACCATCAATTAAAGTCAATTACTTTACACAAATATGAGTTTCTGGTATCATGGAAAGAACAAAGGATTTAAAAGAATCAGGAGATGTGAGTTTTGTCTCAGGGTTCTGTCAATTACTAGCTGTGTTTTGGACAAGTCACTTAACCTCCTGGGGCCTCAGTTTCCATATCTGAAAAAACCAAAGGATTGGATTAAATAACCTCCCTCCCCCCTTTCTTTTTTTAATTTTTATTTTATTTTTTGTTTTTGGTGAGGCAATCAGGGTTAAGTGACTTGCCCAAGGTCACACAGCTAGTAAGTGTTAAGTGTCTGAGGCTGGATTTGAACTCAGGTCCTCCTGACTCCAAGGCCAGAGTTCTATTCACTGCACCACCTAGCTGCGCCGCCCCCTTCTAACTCTACAGGTTTATTATCATCTGTTTTTGATTGTTTTCATAAAAAAGCACCACTGTAGCGTTGTGCTGATCTTGGCCTCAGACACTTACTTAGTATCTGTGTGACCTTGGGCGAGTCACTTAACTTCAGTTTCCTCATCTGTTAAATAAGGATAATTACAGTATCTACCTCCCTGGATTATCATGAAGACCAAATGAGGTAATATTTGTAAAATGTGCTTTGAAAACCTTAAAGTGCTTTATAAACAAATGCTTAGCTATTAATGCACTGTTTGCTGGTGTAGCAATAAACTGGTCCAACCACACTATAAAATAATTTGGAATTATGTGAAGAAAGTGACAAAGATGTCCAACCTTTGATCCTGTGATCCCCACTGGTAGGCATGAAGAGGTCTGTGATAAAAAAGGCTTCCCCCAACCCCCAATTATAGAGCAGCACTTTTTGAGGCAGCAAAGAAGTAAAGACAAAGGTACTCATCATGAAGAATGGCTACATAAAATTTGGTGCAAGAATGTTGTGAACTATGACTATACCGTATGAAATTATGAATAGGATAAATACATATTAGCATGGAAAGACTTGTGTGAACTAATGCAAAGAGGAGTAAGAAGAACTGGGCAAACAATATATAAAATGTCTACACAATGTAAATGGAAATAATGACAAAACAACAATGGAAACTGAACGCAATGAAATTACTATTGCCATGGTTGGCTCCAAAGTGATATGAGAAGGTACCTTCCCAGCCCTTCTTTTTATAGGTAGGGAACTATGAGTGTGGAATGCTATACAATGTTGGACTCTGATGATGTGCTGGTTAATCTTGTCGACTCTTAAAGCAGGTGGAGGAATATTTGGGAATATAGTTAATGTAAAAACAAAAAAAAATTAAAAAGATAAAAGCCAGGTGTGATGGTATACACTTGGACTCTCTGCTACTAGGGAGGTGCTTGAACTCAGGAATTCTGGGGAGCAGTGTACTAGGCCAACTGGGTATCCATTCTAAGACCAGCAGCAATATGTGAGCTCCTGAGAGTGAGGGGCCACTAGGCTGCCTATGGAGGGAATGAACTAGTCCAGGTCAGACATGGAGCTGGTCTAAGCTGTTATGCTGATCGGTAGCCAGATTGGATCTGTGAATGTTCACTGTGTTTCCAGGCTGAGGTGAGATAAATAGACTGAGACTTTAAAAAACAAGTAATACCAAAGAAAGATAAAGGGTGAAAAAAGGAATTCAGCAAAACTAACCATATCAACATATCAACCATGTCTGATTTTATATTCATTATTCCACATCCATCATGTCCCACCTCTGCAATGAAGGGAAGAGGAGAGATCTTTTCAACTCTGTTTCTAGTACCAAGCCTGGGAACTATAATTACAAAACATTTAGTTTGTCTATTCTGTGTTTTCCATTTACACTGTTGTAGTAATCATGTACATTATTTTCTTATTTCTTTTTATTTCATTCTGTATCAGTTCATGTAAATCTTCCCATGAGCCTTTGAATTTTTTCTGCTTGTTTCTTATGGCACAGTAATATTCCACTATGTTCATGTATACAGTGTTTTAGTCATTTCCCAATCAATGGGCATACACTTGGTTTCCAAGTCTTTGCTACCACAAAAAGTGCCACTATGAATATTTTAGTGTAAATGGGACCTTTCTTTCTGTCTTTAACTTCTTCAGGATAAATGCTTAGCAGTGGAATCTCTGAGTCAAAATGTAAGGCATTTTAAGTCATCTTTTACATATTATCCCAAATTGCTTTCTAAACTGTCTAGAGCAATTCATATATCCTCCAATGGCACATTAGTGTGCATTTTCTTACTTAGTAACCTCAATGGTTCCCATAGGTTTAATTACCATCTTTATGCAGATGATTCCCAGATCTGTTTATCCAGCCCTTGTCTGTCTCATGAGCTCCAGTCTCACATCACTAAATGCCTTTTGGACATCTGCAACTGGGTGTCTCACAGGCATCTCAAACTCATTATGTATAAGGGAGTTCATTGGCTACAACCAGCCCAGCAGTGACTCAACCAAATAACAAGGATCTAGAGATGCCAGCCTAGAATTCCACACTATTGGCTTTGGACTTGAACTTTGTGGGATTAATGCCAAGTAAGAACTGAGCTAAATTATGAGCCTAATTTTTCTCTTTGTCCAGAGGATGAGATGGTATAGGGTAGATTATGGGGGCAGCTAGCTGGCCCAGTGGATAGAACCGGACCTGAAGTCAGGAAGATTCATCTTTGTGAATTCAAATCTAGCTTCAGACACTTACTAGCTGTGTGACCCTGCGCAAGTCACTTAAGTCTATTTGTCTCAGTTTCCTCAACTGTAAAATGAGCTGGAGAAGGCGATGGCAAACCACTCCAGTATCTTTGCCAAGAAAACCCCAAATGGGGTCATGAAGAGGTGGACACAACTGAAACAACTGAATAACAACAACATGAAGAAAGAGTGGATTGTGTTCCCAACGTGTTGGGGAAAATGTTTTAATATTTTTTTTTCTTACTGTATATCTGAAGCAAAAAGCCCTTTGTAAAAGTAGCTAAGTGGAACTGCAGTGCTAGTCACTAGGTCCCTAAAATTGTGGGGAGCATAGTCAGTGGGGCCTTAAGCCAACTGCAGAGAAGAGAGACTTCCCAACACCTTCAGGGTTCAGGGTTCTACTTTCAGAGAATATGATGTAGGTTAACAAACTTTGCTCACAGAGAGGAGCCAGTGTTGTTAATATTACACAAGCCTATATCATTACTTGAAGAGGGCACTGAAAAACTACATGAATTACAAACCAGGAAAATGATAAATGTTGGAGAAGATGTGGGAAAATTGGAACACTAATGCATTGTTGGTGGAGTTGTGAAATGCCCCAACCATTTTGGAGAGCAATTTGGAACTATACCCAAAGGGCTATAAAAATGTGCATACCCTTTGACCCAGCAATAGCACTTCTAGGGCTATATCCCAAAGAGATCACACAATGGCAAAAGGACCCACATGTACAAAAATATTCATAGCAGCTCTTTTTGTGGTGGCAAAGAATTGGAAATTGAGAGGATGCCCATCAATTGGGGAATGGTTGAGCAAGTTGTGGTATATGAATGCGATGGAATATTGTGCTATAAGAAATGATAGCAGGCTGACTTCAGAAAAACCTGGAAAGACTTATATGGTCTGATGCTGAGTGAAGTGAGCAGAACCAAGAGAACGTTGTACACAATAACAGCCACATTGTGTGATGACTAATATGGATAAACTTAACCCTTCCTGGCAATAGAAGGATCTAAGACATCTCCAGAGGCCTTGTGATGGAAAACGCTATCCACACCCAAAGAAAGAACTATGGAAGCCGAATTGCTATTTTTTTTCTCTTCTGTTGAGTTTTGTTTCCTCTTTCTGATGGTTCCTCCAATTGGTTTTAATTTCTACTTACAACATCACTAATGTGAAAATATGTTTAATAGGAATGTATATGTATAGCCTATATCAGATTATGCGCCGTCTTGGGGAGGGTGGTGGGGAGGATGGAGGAGAAAAATTTTAAACTCAAAAGCATATGGAAGTGATTATTGATAAATCAAAATGAATTAATAAAAAAAAAAAGAAAAACTACATGAATTGCCATAGGGCATACCAGTCTTTGGGAAGTTCTTTTGTGTGTGAACACATGACCACACATTTATTTAAATTAAAAATTTTGCTATTTCATGACCAAAAATAACTAAAAATAGAAGAGCTTATTATCCTTTTTTTCCAAACTCTACCCGTTCCTGAATCTCCCTATTACTGTGGAGGGCACCACCATCTGAGTTACTCAGACTATCAAGCTAGGTGTCATTCTTGACTTCTCACTCACATTCGTCTCACATATCCAATCCTTTGTCAAATCTTGTCATTTCTATCGTCAGAACATCTCTTGTATATGGTCCCTTCTCCCCACTTCCATAGCTACCACAGTCCCTCCTTATCTCTCAATTGGAATATTACAATACTTGTCTGTCTGGTCTTTTAAGAGTCTTCCTACTCCTGGTTCCAAACCATCCATGATTTTCCTTAAGTGCAGGTCTAGCCATGCAACTCCCTTACTCAATGAACTTCAATGGCCCCCTGTCACCTCCAGGATCGACCAGAAAATACTCTGGCATTTAAAGCCTTTCACAATTGGGCTCCTTCTTACCTTTTTCAGTCATCTTACATCTTACTCCCCTCCATGTAACCTACAATCCAGCTACACCAGGCTATTTGCTATTTCTTGAACATGAGATTACATCTCTTGGCTAGAGCTGTGTATGCTGGCTTTTGACCTTGTCTGGAATGCTCATCCTCCTCATTTCTGCCTCCTAGCTTCCCTTGTTTCCTTTAAGAATCAGCCCAAATTTCACCTTCTTTCCCAGTGCCTTCAACCACCCCACCTACTGCGAGTGCCTTCCAGCTAAGGCTACTCTCCATTTACACTACATATATCCCGAACTTACACTTTTTGTATGGCATCCCTGTCATTAACTCGTGAGCTACTTGAAGGTTGGGAAAGGATTTTTGCCTTTCTCTGTTATCTGTAACGCTTGGTACATATTGAGTATTTAGTAAATTTGTGCTGATTGATCGACTCTTTTAGTGGAGGTAATAATAAAGCAAGGTAGAACAATGATAGTGAAATTAAAAAAAAAAACAACAAAAAAAAATGCAGGAGACTCAAATACACATTAGAGAATATCAAAGTACTATTTTACCTCTCTATCCAGAATAAATGCTGTTGTTAGAATCTCTCCTTTGTCTTTATCAAGGAAGAAGACAAAAGGCTGGGCAGGCTCCTGAGAGACAATCTTATAAGAAATTTTGGAATTGATATGACCTTTCTCATCAGCATCTGTTGCACTAACTTTCATCACAAGTGTATCTGAAACACAACAAAAATATTTTCCACTCGATTCAACCTCCTCTTTCCATAGTTTTATACTTGATATGGGCTTTAGTTTAACTTTGAAATTCAGGCTGGAGTTGCCAAATATGTGAAGATAAACCAAGGAAAACAATTCATTATTTGCATTTTGTATTAGAGGTAAGTATGCTTCTGTTTTCCTACCTTTAAAATGTGCATATTTATACCTATTACCCCACCATCACCACCGAGGGCACATATACGCACACACATGCATACATACACACACACACACACACACACACACACACACCCCTTGTATAAACCTTTTGAGTTTTTCAAAAGAAAGATTGTACTTAGCATAGAATAATTTTATTTTTTAAAAATTTATATTCATCATAGTTCTTTTATTCCAATAAGATATACAAGAGTTAAGAGTACACTTACTCAAAGTCACTTTAAAATTACTTTAAACGTTCATTAATAAAAAAGCAAGAACTTACTTGCTGCGCTTAGTTCTTCAACAGACCCATAAAAGACATTTTTGGTGAAAATAGGCTCATTATCATTTATATCAAGAACCTTAATTCGCAACTCTAGTGGCCTTTCCACCTGGTTCCCCCTCTCATCCAAAGCATAGGCTGTCAGCTGAAATTATATTGCACAGTTAAATAAGGAATGAAATATTTCACGTTAAGTAAAATTTAAAGGTGATTTGAAAATTAAGGTAATAAATCCTACAACATTAAAACAAACGCAAAATAATCCCACTTACTATATACATTGGAACTTCTTCTCGGTCAAGAATCTTTGTAACATTTAAATCACCAGTATTTTTATCAAAGACAAATACATTAAAAGGTTGTTCTGTAATCCCTGGTCCAGTGTAACGATATGTAACTTTTATGTTTTTTTCCTCGGCAATATCTGAATGTATCTGGCAGAAAAATGACAGATTGAACATATTAATAAGTTATTTAAAACCCCTCTAAATTTTTAGGTAAAAACTTTTACAAAGGACAAATTTCCTTTGAATGGGTTGAGATGCTACAAGATAGGGTCACTTTCTTCTTGAATGTTCTTAAAATCTGGAAAAAAGTATTGACTTTTTTATAAATATGAACAGTGATACCTCACTTTTTGAAGGGAACCATCCAAGGAAACAAGCCAAGAACAAGGACGATACTTTGAGAAGTAGATATAGCTATCCAAGTCTGTGCACTAAAGCTGGGGGAGTTTATTCAAGTGAGTGCCTTAGGCCCTTATGCCTGAAACGAGGCCTCTTGTTTTAGTTTAGTGATTCTCGTTTAGTCAATTTTAAGGTAACTGTTTCTCTTATTTCCCTGACCACCAGAGAATCATACTGAAGATGACACCACACAAGGACTGAAGTCCATGACGCTCATTCTATTCATCAAAGAAGTGCTAAAGTATTTTTAGAATGCTTTCAATCAGAGACTGCTTGGATAATCATTTTGACATTAAAAGGGGACTAAATAAATAAAAGTTATCTGGAAAATTCACTTACGTGAAATATGAGAAATGCCTCACTCCCCAATGAGGTTGGACAAAAGACATTCTGATGATCTTAGATAAAAGAGGATAAGCTTTAATACTAGTCCATGGTTTATGAAAACCAAGGATGTTATAAACCAGTAACTTAAGGCATCATTTTAACATTTACCCAAGATCTAGGAGAAAAATCTGGATTTGGTCCCACCACACAATCCATGTATTTCACATAGCACACGTGCATTTTATCTTGCCTCTCAGACTTACTTTGGCAATTGGATTCCTCTTTGAGAGGTCCTCCCCTTCCCTAAGGGCCACAGGAGCAGTGGTCCACTCTCGCTTTTGTCGGTGTAAGTACCTTTGTTGAGAGATCTGATCATTTTCATTACTTGTATGTAAAACCTATGGAGATAAAACAAGGTAGATATATATGTATATATATATATATATATATATAATTTTCAAGTATAGTTTACCGTAAGTGTATTTGTCCAAACTAACTTTCAAATGCCCCCTCCTAATTATAGAAAAAAAATAGATAACAACTTTAAGTTGTAGAATATCAGTTTTTTTTTTACAGTAGTAAAACCTTTTTGGCCTCTACTTCATTTTCACTGAAGGCTGAAAGACACACAACAATTATTAGAGCTCACAAATTAGTAAAGTACTACTAATTAGTTACATCACAATTTATTATTAAATAATTTTTGTATTTAATTTTAGAGTATACACTGGTCAACTATTCAAAGTTATAAGAAAAAAAATTCTTAATGAAAAGCTGACTTAAATTTGGCCAATACCAAGTAAAATTACTGGTTTATAAAATTTACAGGTTTAAGGAATGACAAAGGGAATAAGCTTCTCTTGTTTTCAGAAGCCACCTTGGCAAACTCTTTTGAAAATGTTCGTCACCAAAGCAGTCAAAATGACTATAAAAAAATCAAAACAACAATAACCTTTGACCAGAAGACTAAACAACTTAACCAAGATCAGACCATGAAATGAATACCTTAAAATTAGGGCCTTTCCTCACTCATTCTGATGTTTAAAATCACATGGGTGACGTGGGGGGCGGTAAGGGCAACATTAAGTGAGAGATTATCTTAAAATTTTCACAATAGCCATTACAAGATCTTCTTTATAAGAGGTGAAACATTTCTTTTATGAATAATAAGCTTCTGTTCTCCAAATAAACTATTCCCTTTCCCCCACCCCTGGTGCCTACCTCTAAATGAAGTCCATGTCCAAGGTGAAAGCAGATCTATAAAATAAAGATATGTTTATTTACTTATAAGATATAGGTTTATAGAATAAAGATATGTGTTTACTTACTTATATACTCAATACATCCTATCACCATGATGGCTTGAGTATAGCAATAATATTTCAAAGAACAATATGATTAAAAAATACAGTCCAGGAAGTTACAGAAATGAAAAAAAATGACCATTATTATTACTCTACTTCAGAATCTAAATTGATTTGAATTCAACACACTAAACAATGTGTTGCTGAGTCACTTCAGTTGTGTCTGACTCTTCATGACACCATTTGGTGTTTTCTTGGCAGAGATATTAGAATGGTTTGCCATTTCCTTCTCCATTTTACAACTCATTTTACAGATGAGGGTTAAGTGACTTGCCCAGAGTCATACAGTTAGGAAGTATCTGAGGCCAGATTTGAAATTGGGAAAGTGAGTCTTCCTGATTCCAGGCCTGGCGCTCTACCCACTGTGCCACCTAAAGAACAATAATTAAATTATGATATGTTTTATCAAGGTACTTGGATAACTTTTTCTTTCAGACCCCAAGTACACTCATTTTAAAATCTGACATTATAAACTTACAGTGTCTTCACTAAAGTCTCCTGTAGGGTTGTTTCAAACTTCTCCACATTTCTTAACTCCCCACAATCTTGACATAAGACATTTCACATGCCTTATTCCAGCTCTCTCCACCTTAACATTTCTCATCATTTTCATCCATCTTCGATTCCTTCCCTTTTGTATCAGGGAAAGAGGAAGCACTCCTGCTTTCTAAGTATTCTATGGGTACCCTTAATCAAATCACCTCCACTTCCATCCAGGTACCCTGCTGCTCCATTCTTCTCTTACATTTTCAAGGTCTCATCCCACTGCACTCCTCCCCTTTGGTTAAAAATTCTTTCTATCAATGACACAGAATTCAACTGTTTTCTGTTCTTTCCATTTATAGTGTTGTTGTCATTGTGTATCTTGCTTTCCTCATTCTCTATATTTCCCTTGGCATTAGTCCATACATCTGTCTATGCTTCTCTGAGTTCTTCTTATCTGTCACTTTTTCATGGCAGAGTAATATTTCATTGAGGCAAATAGATGACTCACTGGATAGATGGCTGGGCCTTGAATCAGGAAGATTTATCTTCCTGAGTTCAAATCTGCTCTTTGACACTCACTATCTGTGTGACCCTAGGCAAGTCACTTAACCTCTGTTTGCCTTAATCCACTGGAGAAGGAAATGGCAAACTATTCCAGTATCTTTGCCAAGAAAATCCCAAATGGGGTTATGAAGAGTTGGGCATGACTGAAACAAATGAATGGATACTATCATTCTCTCCATTTTCAGATGGGAAATTGAGGCTTAGACAGTTTAAGTAACTGTTCAAGGTCACACAGTGAGTGTTTGAGGTGGGATTTGAATTCAAGTCTTCATGACTCCAAGTGCTTTATCTACTATGCCACTTTAGCTGCCGTTGAAAATCCATTATCATCAAGGCCTCTGAAAATTAAATATTTATGGGTAACAGCCTTCTTAGACTGTGTGGTGAAGGAGAAAGAAGTCTGGATTTGGAGCCAGAGGACCAGGATGACTTATCATGCTTCTTTGGGCAAATCACTTAGCTTCTGTGGCCCTCAGTTTCATCATCTGTAAAATGAAAGGACTAGGCCTGGTTGGCCTAGTGACTTATGAGATTCCCCACTAGTCCTAAATCTATGATACTGTTTTCCTCATTCCTTTAGAGCTCCTTGTTGCAGAGAATGGACAAAAGTATTGTGCTTAATTCTGTTTGGCACCTTGGTTCTCTTCCAGAATCAGGACTGTATCTGATCAGAAGGCGGAAACTTTGGCAATCAAATGTCAGCCCCTAAACAGCCTTTCCAGGATCTGTCCCTGAAAGGTCATTATTATTTCTTTCTTCATAGCTTTGCTATGCAGATGGAGAAGTCTTCCTTATTCATGGTAACAGCTGCTGACGGTGGTATATCTTTATTAAACTTATTTGCTCTGGATTCAGAGGCACAAAGAACAACACAGTTATACTGAATGAATAATTTATAACGTAACCTTTCATTTACAGAAATAGAGGCTTAACCCATTCTTAATGACAGTATGCAATGTGGGCCCATTTCTTTAATAGCTTGCATTTGTATTGTGTTTTAAGGGTTGCAAAGTTCTTTACAAATATTATCTCATTTATCTTCATAACAACTTTGGAAGTTAGGTGCTATTATTATCCTCATTTTACAGATAAGGAAACTGAGGTTGACAGAGATTCAGTGCTTCGCACAGGGTCAAACAGCTAGTACATGTTTGAGTCTGGCTTTGAACTCAGATCTTCCTGACTTCAGGCCCAGCACTCTAGCCTATGCTTCCTATATGTGTCCCAATGATCTCAATCTATGGTGGACATGAAAACTCCGGACTTAGATTCCAGCTCTCTAACTGCAGGTTGTTAGCCCAGCTTCAGGGGTGGGGAAAGGGCACAGGAGTTCCAGGGCCATATAGAAACTAAATCCATAAAATTCCAAAATGCCTGAAAATTTTGATCTCTTTTCCTCCTTTTCCCTTTTCCCTCCCCTCCATTGTCCCACTCTGACATTCATTCTTACATCCTGTAGGCACCTCCATTTCACAAACAAACAAACAAACAAACAAAAAAATCCCCAGGCACCAATCTAACCTAGAACCAAATCTATCTCATCTAGCACCCTAGCCTCACAATTATCCTTCATTTTCAAGTCTCCCCTTGAGCATATTATAATTTGTCATAACCTGCCTCAAAGATCTCAAGGTCTGAGCTTCCCCCCTCTCTGATCACAGTCTATTTACCTCCCATCTCTTCTACTCCTTCTCTCGCTAAATCTGATCTTTGTCCCTCTCCTCTAACTGTTCTGAATTCAAATCCTCCAGTGCTCCATGGCTCTTTTATGTTCTGCTGTTCTGTCATAAACAAATCCTAATTCGGATCACCAAATGATCACCCAATTGCTAATTCCAATGGCATTTTCTAAATTCTACCCGACTTCTGCAGGAAACTCAAATGTAATACATTGAAAACCAAATGTCTCCCCTTTCCCAGAAAAAATAAAAGACCTTCTTCTTGATATCATTATCTCTATTAATTACATTTACACTCAGGTTTAGATTCTGGCCACCCAGAATCATTCTTGACTACCTTTTCCCTCAAATTGCCAAAGAATCACCAAATTCTGTCATTGTCAAGATCCATACCTACATCTCCAGCCTCTTATTGGACATTGCTAATATACTCTGCTCTAGACACCAGGCCTGGAGTCCTATGTCCAAATCTGTACTATACTGTAAGAGGAAGCCACAATGGTCATGGGATCAGAGATTTAGAGCTAGAAAAGACCTTAGGATCATTCTGGTTGGACCCTCTCACTTTACAGATGAAGAAATCGAGGCCCTGGAGGTTAAGTGATTTTCTTAGTCACAACAGGTAGTAACTGTCAGAGGAAGGATTTGAACCCAGTTCCTTGGACTCCATTGCCAGTGAGTGCTCTTTCCATTAGACCAAAACTATGCCATAGAAAGTTAGTTGGAGAACAACACTTAGTGAGGCATGTTAGTTCTTTCCAAATATATAACAGGTTGTCATGAAAGGGAGTGTAGTTGTTGTGTGAGATAATGAGCTCCCCATCAATGAAAGTATGCAAATAAAGACTGGATGGCTGCCTGCCAAGGATTACTGTGCAGACCTAACTCACCGGTTGGCTAACAGGAAAATACCGAGAGTTTTCTCAAGAAAAACTCACAACTGATTTTTATAACACTGAATGTTCTGGGAGGAACCAGTCAAACAGAAGGAGAGGACACAAGGGTAGGGGTGGGGGTAGTGTTGGAGGGAAGGCACTAAGATTAAGAAGGAGTAGAAAAGCCATTTTGCAGAAGGTAGGACTTTAACTGAGACTTGAAGGAAGCCAGGGAAGCCCAGAGGCAGAGAAAAAGGGGGAGGGCATTCCAGGCACGGGGATATAAGGGTCTGAAGCAGAATCTGAACCCTGGTCTTCCAGAATATAAATCCAACATTCTATCCACTATAACACAATGCATTTTTCTAACTCCCACCATTTTCAGAAAATCAAAATTCACTTTAATAAAATAGCTGCATGGGCCCTACATTTAATACCTGATAATATAAGAATTAACAAGTAATAAAATCTATGATAACTCCCTTCTGGGCAGTACTTCTAGTGATTTAACTAACTCTAAGAGCCTCAGAAAAAAATGCCATTGAAGAGGTTTGCCTTCTGTTCACTGAAATCTCACGAAAAACACTTTCCCTAATATTAGCTGTGACTAGAACAGTATAGACAGCATCTGCAGAAATGCTCCTATATTTATGGGTACTTTATCTACCTGGAAGTCCTTTGAGTTAAAAAAAAAAAGTTATCTCCTTTTCCTACACAAACCACCCTAAATCTACGGAAGTGTTTTTTTTAAGCTGCTGAAATATGATCTATGCTTTCTGTTTGATAATGGTTAGATAACTTGCACAAGTTAAGGGAAAAAAAAATAGGCAGAGGAATGTGGAAAAGTTTGAACAACTTTGTAAAAACATAATCCAAGCTGTTAAATGCCTCCTTTGTTCAGAGAGAGGAAAACTTCAGAATGGATAGCTGGTTCTGACTTTCTATCAATGTGCCTCCACCTGCATCTAGCAGAACATTCTGCATCCCTAGTGAACTCAACCACATTGCTACAACACTGCTCTAGGGTGCCCACCACTGTGTTCAAATATTGTCTGGGACCTTCTGGAACCAGCACTAGAAACCCAATGATGTCCTGATTTGCCTCAAGAATATGGTTACTTCAGGCAAAAATCCAACTCCATTCATTTTAGGGGGAAAAATACAAAAAGCTACATAATCATAATATAAGGTTTAGTTCCTGGAATACAGTATTACAATCATATGTTAGCCCCAAACTACAAAGAACCTGCGTTGTTTACAACTTGCCTATCATCTTGATCATGAATGAA